GCCAGATTGTAGATTTTGTCTCTTTATTTAATCAGGTGTCAGTCATGTAACATGCTGATAATACTACATGTAGAATAAGTGATTCTTTAATTCCTTTAAAAGTGTAAATATTTCCCATCAGCTTCTTCAGTGAACAAGGAGCAAAGTCATTCTACTTTCTTCTCAACTCAGATGACAATATAAGCTTTTCTGGCATGTAAACACTGACCAGGCAAAAAGAAGATCTGCTTTGTCTTGGACTTGAAACACTGATCAACAACATCATAATGCACATTCATGCAAGCATTCAGATCATACAAACAACCTCAGGATCTTTTGTTACACTCAAATATAAATACATGATATCAGACATGTCACAGAATCAAACACAAAATGATTTAACTTCTGACTCATCAGTTGCTTAACACATGTAACGTATTATCATGTTATTATAACGTTACCACATCCAGATCTATGAGGAACACAAATGCAACAACTGGACATCAAATACTTTGAAAACAAAATCAATCAAAAAATGCTCTCAAATCATTTTTTAATGTAATCAAGACAAAAAAGCAATGTTTGTTTTCTCTGTTGCTTTGATACATTCTTCAGCTCAACTATAATGACATGAACTGTCACACAAAACAGTCATGAAGCAGATTAGTGGAGTTCATTAAATGTGTCAAATGTCAAAGTGAGAACCTTGTTGTAAGCAAGTGGTTAAATATGTATGTGTACTCACAAGATCTTTCATCTTCTCTTCTATACAGTAATGTGACCATTAAAGGGCCCCTCCTTCACTGAGGAGAACTATTACTTGATGGGAAATGATTCTTTGAGGCTGTCTTCTGCCTGCTTGGATTCGATGATTTTCCATGAGTGAGGAATATCAGCAGGTTCTGCATGATATGCTTTGGCAAAGTCAGTGTTGTATGTTGCCATTACATATTTCCAGTAGTTTGATGCCTTGGAGCTCACATCTGGACGAATATCCCAGTCAGGAAAATATTTCCTGTAATGTTTGTAAGGGTGCCATTTATTGTTTGTAGCATCACAGCGAAACCTGTTGTCACTGTCCACTAAGGAAGAGCATATGTCAGTGACAAGTTTCTTCGTTGAGTCCCACCTGTATTTACCCAGACCCTGTGGCCGATGCTGTGAAGCAAAGTGCTCTTTATGGTTTTTTCCTTCTGCCTCACAAGGCACTGCACAGAATGGACACTGTTTGCCACATCCAATCACTCTGGTGAAGAGCTCATTCAGGGGATTCATATGGAGATGTTCTAGTTTCTTTGAAAAGGTCATTTTTTTAAACTTCTCTCTGAGAGTTTCTGCCATGTCATTCACAGACACCGTGAGCCAGTGAGCAAACTGTTCCTTGTCAGCATTGTTCAGGATCATGACAGAATCAAGAGCAGTTTGGGAAATAACAAGTTTATCACCAAGTTCTTTGCAGATATCTTCAACTAAGGCCTTCAAGTCGACAGCGTTTCCTTCTGTGGCCTTTGCGATGGCATCATTTATGCTGCTGATACTTGACTTAAGATGTCGATCCTCAAACTCAAATGTTACAGAGGACCTTGAGAAACGTTCCTCTATTTGCTGACGTATTCTGTTCTTGATGTACCACTCGTAAGAGGAACTGTAGTTCAAATAGTCTTCAAATTTTTTCTTTGAAGGCAAGTCCTTCAAAAGTGAATACTGGAAGGACATTCGTGTGCTGAACTCCTTACATTTGCGCATTTCATCAACGATGTTTGGACCTAAGGACCGGTTGACAAAGTCTTCAACAGCAGGCTTCAGGCATTGGTCCGTGAATTCTTCTGCCTTCTTCTGGGCCTGGTCTCGCTGATGGAACACATCTTTGAAATCAGAACGAAACATTTCCTTGTTTTTCATCAAACATCTGTGGGGATCATTTTCTTGAATGAAATTCTTGTGCATTTCCTCAAAGCGTCTGGCTGCAAATCCACAGATGTGCTGTTTTAGAGAGACTTCAAACTCGATGTCTGTCTTCACATTCTGATTGTTTTCCAGTTTCTCATCGATGATGAGTAGGATCTCCTGGATGTAAGTATCATGGTAGTTGGTTTTTCTCTCAATCTTTTCAGTTACAAACTGTGTGCAAGCAGCGATGATCCTGTCAGCCACTTCTTGTACATGATCTTCGCCATTCCACAACTTCTTCACTTCACGTTTAGCTCTTTTGCGCCAGTTTTCATCTGTATGTGTGAACGGCTTTTGTCCACAATCTCGCAGTCTTTTTTTACTCAGCAATTCACATGCACCACTCCCCTTCTGAGACAGATTTGTTCTCAGGCAGTGATCTACCCTGGTGAAGACATCTGTGGTCTGTTGTTCAGAAAAAGAAGAAGGAAGTTTGTTCAGTGTTTCATTCCACATCTTATCAAATTCTTTGTCCAGTTCTTTCTCTCCCATCTGGACTCTTCTCTTTCGACATTCATCAATTAGTGCACACACTGCTTTTTCTATTTTTTTTGTGTGGTTCTCCTTGATTTTGTCAAGTTCTCTCATTCCCCGTCTAATGTCTGCTGCTGCTGTTAGTTGATTCACAACAGAGCTTTCCATTTCTCGTCGAAGGCTCTTTGCACTGTTTGAGAACTCCTCTTTGTATCCTTCAACTAGATAGACATGACCCTCTGTTTGCTTGAAGTACTGTGTTAGATTGTCGAGAAGCTTTGTCTCCCATTTAGACAGCTCTGTG